CATTATTTTTAAAGACATAAATTCATGAAGAATACTGAAGATAAAAAGTAGTACTATTTAAAGGCCTTAAATTCATCTTTCTTACCCCTTAGAATCAAATCCAGACACCATTCCAGTTAGGACTTTCACAAAGTTAAACAATACTTGTGACAGGATCTTAAAACCATGGAAAATGCCATTATTGTTTCAATCAAATCAGTTGTAAAAATTTAAGTTTGGTTAGAATTAGATGACACATTTCAGTAACAGAATAGAAAGCCTGTTGCTAACTAGTTATCAGTTCAGTGTTATCCTAAAATTTATGTTGATTATGTTTCAAATTACAGTTGCTCAGGTACCCAAATATATTGCTTCCTTTCCTCCCTCACAACTAACTTACTAAAGGGGAGGAACTTAGGATGGTTTATTGTTCCACAGGTTTTGGGGAGGACTTGGTAGTAGAAGGTCTGTGGTTTGCCTCAGTTCTGCAGCCTGGCATCTACAACAAGAATGTAGAGACAATTCACATTCCCAAGGACCAGGACAGACTTGATTGTGCAACTCGGGATACATCGGTGTTTTTCTGAGTCATCATTGCCAATAGCATGTTTTTACGTGGTTTTAGAAGAGGTATATGGGGTACCTGAAGGTCCTCATTCTCTGCCAAACAGCCAGTTCAACTTTTATATAGAGGCAGGCAGCATGTAATTTTCATGACTGTTATTTAGAATGAGTTGGCAAGTTTCACAGCTGGCTTTATAGACAGCCTTGGCATTGTTAGTAGAAACTGTAAGTTAGGCAAAGTTACTTTTACTCAGATGAATGAAAATTATTTTTACTTTTGTAAACATCTAAATATTGTTTTTATAAAATTATTAATGGATACATTTGGGTTTTATATTTTTTGGTTTGCTCTTTGTTTGTCTGTGTTCGCCATGCTGGAGGTTGAACCCAGGGCCTTACACAAGTCGTTTGCCAAGTGCTCTCCCACTTAGCTGTACTTCTGGCCCCAAATCCATTTTTAAAGCTAGCTGTCAACCAACAATCATTTTTATTAAGCAATTCTTCACTTCTAGTTAGGTTTTAAGATGTATGACTTTTCTGTTGTCTTTAAAGAACATACTTGGAATGTGTTTAGAGTTGTTTTTTCTTTAATAAAGCATAACTATTCTACTGGAAAATATAGATATTTTCCTTCAGATTATTTATTTTTCAGTATGCAACACCAGGATAATGAAGATTTTTAATCCAACTGCCACTTTCTTGTTCTCATTTCCTTGGTGATCACAGACTTTCCAACTGATAAGGAACCTCAAGGATCATTCCTTTCATTTACAAATGAAGAAATGAAGACTGACATTTCCCTTGCATAGCTGGTTAATGAAAGAATGAGAACTAAAAACCAAATCTCTATGTAGTTTGTTGCAGGATGTCTTCTATGCTAAAGATTAATTAGTGTGTCTCTTTCCTTTATTTCTCTTTCTATAACCTTTGGAGAACTAATTCTCCTTCAGTGAATTTGTGAGAGCAAGTGAAAATTCTTACACAGCTCATTTCTAAACAGGAAGAAAGCATTCCTAGTTTAGGAAATATTTTCAAGATCTGCTGTGCTAACACAGAAATGCATTTTTATTATATTCAAAAGAGGACACAATTAAGAGACAATCCCAAGTCAGCACTCCTTCACACAATATTCCTCTTTGATAAAAAGATAAAGTCACCAATCAGAATAATAGTCCAGATACCTAAAAGTCATGTGTCCTTTTGAAAGATATGTGTCATATAACTTAGGAGAATTGCAATGTAGATTTCATTTTCTTTGCTTTTAGGTCAAATGTTAGCATTTGAAAGGGGCAAAAAGCACATTCCATGGATATTTAATTCTTATTTTATGGAAAAAATATCAAAACCTTACATGGTCTTATTAAGTATATGGAACTATGTCAGACTACTTGTTCATTTACTGAAAATAAAGTGACTTCTAAATATAAATCTATCATCTTTTAGTGATTATTCAACTCATTCCAAGCACACATTTTAATTTTTAACCACATGCACATTATTTTTAGAGAAGTTTTAATCCTGAATTTTTTTTTCTTTTATGGAAAAAAAGTAAAACAGAGTTTCATAACACAATAATAGGAGAATAACAAGAATCTAGAGAAAACATTCGCAAAATTCACCTGGAACTAGATGAAACCTAGAATAACAAAGGTAATCCTGAACAACAAAGGCAAGGCAGGAGGTATCACAATCCCTGACTTGAAATTGTACTGCAGAGCTCCTGTAATAAAATCATCATAGTAACACCTGAGAATCAATGGAACAGAATAAAAGATGCAGACACAACTATAAATATACTCAGGAACTTTTTCTTTGACAAAGAGGCCAAACATGTTCACTGGAAGAAAGATAGCCTCTTTAATAAATGGAGCTGGAAATGACTTCCCACATGCTGAAGACCAAAACTAGACCTGTGTCTGTAACCATGCTCTAAACTAAAGTCAAATGGATCAAAGATCTAAGTATTAAGACCGAAACACTAAGTCTCCGGGAAGACAAAGTAGGTAGAAATCTTGGAAGACAGGGGTAGGCAGAGAGTTCGTGAGTACACAGCAAATACTTCAAAAATCAACTGGCATCTCATTAAAATTTTTTTGCACATCAAAAGAAATGACTAACAGAGTGAAAAGAAAATCCATGAATTGTGAAAAAAATTTTAACCAACTATCCCACAGATAAAGGACTTTTAAAAAAATTAGGCCCCCCAAAATCCAAAGACCCATTCCAAAATGGGCATCTGAGATGAATACACACTTCTCAGATGAAGAAATACATATGGCAAATAAATATATGAAAAAATGTTCAATATCATTGGTCATTCAGGAAATGCAAATTAAAACAACACTGTGATTCCATCTCATACCAGAAAGAATGGCTGTTATCAAGAAAACCAATAACAAATGCTCAAGGGGAACAGGAACCCTTCTTTATTGTTGGTGAGAGTATAGATTGGTGCCACCACTGTGGAAATCAGTATGGAGATTCTTCAAAAACCTAGGATTAAAAATGTATATATATTCACAACATATATATATTCACAGCTATAAAAGTTGTACTACTAATTCTATTAGTTGATAGAAAAGAACAGTTAGTGCTCATACTGTTTGATCAATTTTTCAGGCTTATATCTGGTAACTTGAGCATCTCTTAAAGATAACAATATGCAATATAACAACCATTGTTAAATTCCTATTATCCTATTTTGAAATCCTGTATTGCCATTGTTTTGGGGTTGTTGTTGTTGTTTGTTTTATTTTCCTCTTTAAAAAACAAACAGTATTAGAGGTCCGATTTGACCCAGCTATTCCCTTTCTATGTAATTTTCCAGAAGAACAGGAAACATCGTACCCCAGCAATATATGTGTACCCATGTTTATAGCAGCACAATTTGTAATAGCTAAATCTTGGAAACAACCCAAATGAATAAAAAAGATGTAATATTTTTATAAAATGGATTGCTGCTCAGCTATAAAGAAAGATAAACTTGAGGCTTTTATAAGTAAATGGATGAACTAGAGACCATACTCATACGTGAAATAAATCAGACTTGCATGTATAAATATATTATCTTCCTACTATAAGACAAGAATAAATAAAATCCTAAATGTACAATAGATGTTGTAAAAGGGAACAAAACAACTCAAAGAAAAAGAACTGGGATGGAGGAAAGGAGATGGGGGAATATATATATATATATATATATAATTATACTATTAGTTCAATGAAAGGAGCAGTGCTTATATTACTTGATCAATTTTGCACACCTATATCTGGTAATCTAAGCCACTGTTTTAAAAATAACTATTCAATATAATAATCGCTTCATTTCCTATCATCTTGTTTTGAAATTCTGTATTATTTTTATTGTTTTTTATTCTCTTTAAAATAAAAAATGTTTAATACATGCATACTATGCTGTCATCTTCAGAGTAGTTACTCAGAGTACAAGATAGGGGCACGAAAATTTTCCACTTGATATTATCACAAACCTTCCTTTTCAGTGAACTAAGAGACTAATAGTATAGTTAATTTGCGTTTTTCTCCCTTTCCCCTTCCTTTCCTTTCCTGTCCCCTATCCTAGTTCCTTTTTCCTTTTAAATCTTCTTTTTTTACCTTATTATGGAATAAAAGATTTCTAATGAATTAAATGGCAAATCAGTTCCTTTTTAAAAGGATTCAAATAAAAGAATGATTAAGAAGTGAAGCCTTTATTCTCATATTATTTGCAGTTTTATACTTCAGTGTTGCCATGTTTGATTTGTTCAATCACTTTATTTAAAAACTGTTTGAAATAAACACACAGAATGGAAGTCAGGATAGTAGCACCCTTGCTAAGGGGTAGCAACAAAAAGTGGTCCAAAGAGGGCATCTGGATGTTGGGGATGCTCCACTTTGGTTACTAGTTACATGGGTGTGTTCAGAGGTAAGGGATATATTTATATATGTGAACATTTCTGTATATATATATTATATGTTCAAATTCAGAAAATATTAAGATGTTAAAATAAAGTCAATAAAACTTAGCTACACAATATATGTGTTAGTACTATTGTATACTGATTCTTGCTTGATTGCAAATTGAAAAGAACAGACTGAAGAATTTAACAGATTCCTCCGTTGTTTTTAAGTCCTTCCTATAACCTCCCAGAAATTTAGGTATTAAATTTCTAAATTTTATCAGTTCAAGGAAAAATATGTAAACCTGAGATAGTTTGTAATTAAGGTAAAAATGAGGTAAGACCTTACCTTCTGAGTTTCTGAAATATAGTATCTTTCTCATCTTTATGTATATTCCAAACATGATTTCATACACTGTAATTTAAGTAAAATGAATTGAATTCCCTCCTAAGTGAAGCATTGTTCAAATTTATTTGTGTGGTTGATAATTGATGCCTCATTATTTTTTTCTCAGACTTACAAACAAGAAAAAGAATGCTTACTTTTCCAATCATTGACAGGTTGCCTCTGCCAGAGCAGACATTCATGGGCTACTGGACAACTGGCCATGCAAGAGATGGAATGCAAAAGCTCTTGTGTCCAGCAGAAACTCATCTTATAGATGTAAAGGTTGATATCCTTATTATTTCCTCTTAAAATCTTACAAATTTTTCTCCATTTTCCCTTAGCAAATCTACACAATCTCATAAGTGACTTGTAATATTTTTAGCTTCTGGTCTTTCAAATAAGTCATGGCCTCCAAGAACTCAATGTAAGCCATTCCAAATGGCCAGACGGAATTTCTAAGAGCTAATCTGCATTTCAGCAGAGTCAATCAGTAGGTGCAATTTTCCTAGGATGATAACACTGTGATATTTGTCTTTACTTGTGTTTGCTAACAAGATTAAAACAGTGCTTTTTTGCATCTTCTTAACCACACATTGTTGATTGATACTCATGTGAAATGGTAAAGGAGTACCAGCCGTATTAGTACAGCTGAAATATCTGCTGATATTTCAAGCAGAAAGGAGTTTACCATGAGAAAACAGTTGTTTATAAACACAGTAAAAAGGGCAAGAGGCACAGAAGTCAGCGGGTAACACTGGATTTAAGTTTCAAAGTCAGTGTTTCTGCTTATGCTACCAAGCCCGCTGCTGGGGGCTACACAGGAAAGCAGCATCAGCAAACTTTTTTTTGTAAATGACCAGAAAGTAAATATTGTAGGCTTTGCGGTTGTACAGCTTCTGTTGCAATGACAGCACTCTGTGCTCACAATGCAAGAGCAACCATGGCGATACACAAACAAATGGATGTGGCTGAGATCCACTAAAATTGTATTTACAAAAACAGGCGGTGGGTAAAACTTGGCCTGTGAGCCATAGTTTGTCAGTCTCTGTAGCAGAAAATAGAATCTCAGCTCATAGTTGTAAAAGTTTCCTTGTCTGGTGCTGCAGAAGATGCCCACTTGTTTTCTGTCTTCCAGATTCCATGCCTGTATGTTTAACTGGCAGAACCTAAATCACTTACAGAATATTTCTCAAGCGAGTGTGAGGAATGTAGGTTTATCTTCTAGTCCCAGAGGTACAGACTAGATGAAAGTGAAGAAAACATAATGCCAATATCTAGCTCAAATATTTTTAATTAAGGACTGTAGGACATGCAAATCATTGAAATGTTAGTTGTATCTGTATAGTTCTTCCAGGAAGTCTAAGTACCAAATACTAATACTCATAACATTATTAAGTTACTTCCTTTTATGTTTATATTGAATAATTATCACTATCTATGAAATATTCAACCTTTTATAAGTAATACTAGTGATTATCAATGTTTGGGTTTTAAAAATTTTAATTGTAAACTCATACATTAAAGTCACACATTAATACATTTCTATATGTGAATATAAAATAATTCTTCATAATGGAAATATATCTGACTCTGATTGATTAATTTTTAAATTATTTTCCTGGTGTGGACATCTCTGGGCCCTGATTTTTTAATTTAATGGGCCTTTGGCTTAGGAAGGAAAGAGGTAATGAGAAATCTTATGGGACTATATATCTGGTATATATTGTGAGTAAAAACAAGAGAAAGTGAGAAATTAAGCAAGTTAGTACAAATGAAAGCACTTATAAATGCAAGTACATTGTGTTATTGCTGTTATAAGAACCGTGTCAGACAATAAAGGGAGAAGGAGGGTATCAACATATTTAAAACTTCAGTATAAATTCCGTATTTTAGAAGCATATTAGCTTTTCTTCATTTTGGCTACTACCCAAATTTCGTAACTCAGATAACTAATTCATTGCAGGGTCCAGTGCTTATAAACATACAAGAGTATCCAATAGAAAGACATGAAGAAAGATCCCTCAGCTTTACTGAGGCGTGTGCCTCCTGGAGGTTACCACTGGATGAAATGAATTTAATCTGTGACATTGCTACATCACATGGTATGTCAGTTTATGCTTTTGATCTTTTCTTCCTGCACTGACTTTTAAAGGGATTAAAATAGTCTCTCTAGACATCAATAAATCTATGAGAGATTTGGTGACTGTCATTCTTGGATTGGATAGCAATTACAAATAATTTAGAACTGGTTTCCTCTAACAACCTAACAAAATGCTGTTGCAGAATAAGCACTGCTGAGTTTGTATGTGTACGTCTGTTTCTCATTACGGTTGTAGCACAAAGTTAAACACACCCAGGCATGTGCTAAAAATAGAAGGGAAAAGGAAAAAGGAGAAACATTGGATTTTTGGCTGGGGTTCCAGTTTGGTGATTGTGTGAACCACAAAAGCAGGGTCAGAATGCTTTGCAGTCATTAAACTTTTCATTGTAAAGAATGGTAAATAAGGAATGTGAATTGTGGGCATTTCCATCTCTGGACCATTGCCATTAACCCGCTGATTTCATGCAGAGAGCCCTGTGAACCTTTTGGCAGGAGTCCCGCAACTGGTAATCAGTCACTAAGATGGTCTAAACAGCAGAGGGTATGAGAGGGGAGAGTCTGCCTAATTTGGCTAAGATGGAGAATGTTGGGGCAAAAATCAGCATCTTATTTTTGTTTATTAAAGTTCTGTGCATATTGTTTATTCCCCACATTTTTGAATAAAAGTATATTTTAAACTATTTATGGAGTTTTTTGTGGCTGTTTGGTTATTGTGGAAAGTTTGGTGTTCTTATGAAGATATTTTGCATTCACTGTTAAAGAGAAAGCATGGCGAGATCTGAAGAATTAAGTTGGAATTTTGGCTCTTGTCTCGGGCTTCGGAACCCTAAAGAAATGTGCCGTGACCCTGGGCCTGCACCTATGGCAGGCGACACATCACTTGCAGACTGTTCTCATCTATCCTTCTTACAGTCTTGTTCTTATCAGCGCAGTGTTACAGGCAGCCCTGCCAGTCAGTCAGAGTTGTTCCTGGAAATGTGAATCATTTGCTGTCTCTGATGTAATTTAGCCCCCGTTCCTATTAGCCATATTTCCAAAGTGTGTTTTTTTGTTATTTTTTTTTATTTCGGGGATTTTGGGAGAAGGATTAACCTATAAATCTGTGAATGAAGTGAGCATCTCTTTGGGTTCGAACTGGAGTTAGTATAGTTAAGCCAAACACCAAATGGCACTTCATTGACTGCAAAAAGAGAACACAAATAATAAGTTTAAGGAAGTATATCTCTATCAGCATTCTTACCATATTCTTCACTTCTCTATACTATGCAAGAAAGTGTCCAATAAATATTAAGCTGAACTTGTTTGTGTTTATAATGGAGGCATCAAAAATATAAGTAATAAATTCTATAGTCTGATACTTGAATGTCAGCATACATAGTTCACATTTGTTTCCTAAAGATGTCTACCTTCTTTTGCCCTTCTGTTAATGGCTGTGTTTCTTATCAGTGTAATCTCATTTATTTAAACTTGCTGTATTTTATATGTAATATTTGTAATATATAACATTGTATATATATATAAAACATTACTTATAGATGAGGTATATATGCCTGCATATTCTAGGGTGGTCCCTAGTTTAAATATCTCATGTGTCTTAAGTTTTGGGTTCAGAAAATATTAGACAAAAACAACTAATCCCTTTCCTCTAAGGAATCACATGAGATTATGAGACGCTTAGTCCAGAGTCTGCTTAGTGAAAGGGAAGTCTTCAGTCTAGCAGCCTTAATGTCTTCTGAGAGCTCTACGAGAAACGCTGAATCTAAAACCTTATTAGAGACCTACTGTGTCAGAATCTGCATTTTCATTAGCTCCCCAGAGCTAATTGCCTCATCCGAACTTGAGACAGGACGCAAATGGACCTACGCAAGTGTCAGATTGAAAAGAGATTTTTAAAATTAAGTTTATTGATACATTTTAGGTATACATAATGATCACATTCATTATACAAAATTTGTACCTGTACATAGTGTTACGTGATTGTTTATTCCCCATTCCCCTGCCTTCCTTTCAAACCCCTCTTCCCCTCCTCACTTACGAAATCTTTGTTTCCATTTTTTCTTTCCCTTTTTTCCTTTTCCCCTCCTTCTTCCCTTCTCCCACTCTACCTCTTTCCCTGTCTCATTTGAACATTACCTTGCGACCACATTCTTAAGTGAAATAAATCGGACATACATGCACAAATACTGCATTGCTTCTCTGGTGTGAGAAACTGAAAATATAAATAAGACCAAAATGTATAACAGATATTGTGAAACAGGAAGAAAATGTTCAAGTGAAAAGACATAACAAAAAATACCGAAGTAAGAACAAAAGTTTAGAATTAAAACTCATAGCGCTAGGGTTTTATAAAATACAATTTCTTATTTATAGCAAGAAAAATCTAAATATCTAGGAACTGTAAAAAATGGAAGATTAACACATAGATGTTGATCAACTATTGTCCTTGCAAACCAATAATGGAATAAGAGAAAATAGGCCTTCATTGGAACACAAAGAAAAATTTCCTGACATTGAGATTGATACATAATTTATGGTGTTATGAAATATTTTGATATTACCTGAGAGCAAGTAGATACTTATTTCCTGCAAAGGGTAGGTATGACTCTACACTTAGGGTAGATAGTTGCTTTTATGGTTATTTTAGTCTATCAATTCATTTAAAAATTATTTGCTGGTTTAAACTCTGTGCTTGACCTAACCATTCAGTTTTCAGTAGACCTCTTGACCAGTCAGAAAATCACTAACAAACCACTAAATTAACTCCTTTATGTTATTTCAGAAAATGAGGAAAATACTCTGTATGTAGCTGCATGCAATCCTGTTTCCTTATACTTTATGAATATGACTGGGAAAAGTGGCTTCTTTGTGGATCTATATGATATCTTCCCAAGAACGGCCAGGGGAGTTTGGCATCCATTTGTGACAGTGGCACCACTGGGAAGTCCTCTCACGGGCCAAGTTATTCTCCACGAGGAGCAGGTAAAGTACCTCAGGCTACTCACAAGCTATAGTTATAAGCAGAGTAATTTATAAAGGCAATAATGATTTGCCATCTGAAACTGAAAACACATAGTTTTGTGAAGGCAGACGAGAAAGATTGGTGGCAGATCAGGAGTTATATTTTATTAGGACCAGAATGGCAGGCTATGGTCTTCCTCTCTGCAGTTACCTCAAAACAACATATAAGCCTGTAAACCAGTTAATTACGATTTCTCAACCTCAACACTACTGATGTGTTGCATTCTCTTTGCAGAGAAAGACAACAAAGAAGTAAACCAACAAATATGTCGGTTTCCCTCCGTGATAAATGGTGTATAGAAACAGGGTAGAGCTAGGGATGTGGCTCTGTAGCTGGTCACTCGCCAACTATGCACAAGGCTCTGGGTTTGATCCCCAGTTCTTCTACAGAAAGAGAGAAACAAACAGGAAAAATGTCTGAAGGGGCCCTAGGGCTGAGGTAGAAGATTTGGAGGGGGAATGGAGAATTGAGAGAGGACATTTGAGACCCCAGTGACATGCTTTGCACAGATACACCCACATAAATACACGGAATGAAATACACTGAGATCCTTCTGTATCTGATGATGTTCAAGTTCCATCTGTCTTTTCTACAGATTAGTGCAATAAAATTGCACTAATGAAAAGTACATTTGCCCGGAGTCAGGCTGAACATAACTCCAAACAGGTAATTATCGATCTGAAGACAGGCTATGTTTCAATTAGTGAAAAATCAAAAGGTCTAATTAATCTGTATTATACCAAGGGAAAGGAGTCTAATGTTTTTTTAAACCTATTATCTGCCTAATATCTACAAAGTATTAAACTAGGCATATTATTCATTCTACAAATATATAAATCGTTCCTAATTTGGGTTACTGCGGTGAGCAAAACCATAAAAATTTGTGTCCCATAAAGCTCACAATCTGTTGTGGGAAGATAAACAACAGGCAAAATAAAAATTTATATCTTAGATTAGAAGGTCAGAAGCAAGAAAGAACAAGATTGCAATTTACAGTAAGGTGGGCAAGAAAGGCTTAATTGAATGGATGAGATTTCAAAAAGACTTGACCAAAGAAGAGAGTTCCAGTAAAAGGGAATCTAAGTTCAAAGGCCCAGAGGCTAGAACACGCCTGTTTATCTTTAAAGTGTGGTGAGGAAATAAATCAACTTTAGCTTTAATCCTTGACTAAATAGTTTTTATAAATTATGAGTTAGGTTTTTTTTTTTCTGGTTTTGTTTTCACAAGTTTTGTTTTGTTTTACGTTTTCTCTGTGCAGGAAGCACATTTGGGGGATGTGGCTTAGTGGTAGAGCTCTTTCCTTGCATGCACAACGTCCCGAGTTTGATCGCCAGCCCTACAAAAAACGAATAAGTAAAATAAAATAGAAGCAGAGTTCATCCATATTGAGATATTGCTTATAAATTTCTGTCCAGCAAATTGGTTGGAATAATCTATAATTTACTTTATAGATTTCCAACAAAACTCACTGTCTTGAAACCTACAATCAGAAGTTGTAGAAAGCACTCGAGTTTTAATTCAATAAGCTAGTCAAAGGCGATCAACAATTGAAGTTTGGAGAATTTATTTAAGCAATCCTGACAAATTTTCAGCTAACAGTCAAACTTGCATATGCAAATTCTGTAAAAGTGCCAGACTTCTAGTTTCTTGGGAAGCATTTTACTTTTCAAATAGAGTCAATTATTTAACAACATTGTTGATCACTATTGTGTTCAATTGTAATGAGGTCATCAAAGAAAATATGTTTTTCATTGTAAAGCTATGCGTGACTTTTACAGCCAGCACGTTGCCTCCCAGCATTCTCATATGCTGATCTTCTTATGCCTTTGGCTGCAGCTTCGAGTTTTTCAGAAAGCTCTTTTGGCACGCAGAGCAGACAGGCACAGGGTCTTGATATGACCTGTCCTCTGAACTGCTCCATCTTTCCCCAGAGAGGCCATCCAGGGGGTCTGTGTCACAAGATGGTTCTGTTACGATATCAGGCCAGTTAATTCCATGTAACAGCACAGTGCTGTAAACTTTAACAACTGATAAATAATCCTAGTGGAATAAAAGCTGCGTGGTCTGCTATCTGTTCCCTTTTGCTTTACACTTCAGTAATGTAAAATGCAGCTGAAATAGTGCTTCCATGTAGCCACCGATCCCTTCCTCATCCCCTTACAATAAAGCTTTGCTACAGATGCATCCCCCAGTTAGTTTAAGACATTGTTCAAAAATTCACTGCTAAAATAAAGTCTTAAGTGAGGAAAGGAAAACTTTGCCTTGTCTAAAAATAAAGACCTCCCCTTCCCCCAACCCCCGTGAGATTATTTATTACATCTGCACGAAGTTTAGAATTTCAGACTTGGGGACATGGAGGTCATCCAGAGGTTACTTTTCTCCCAGTCAAATATAAACATAATAAAATTGCTCACTCGCCTCTCCTCCCTGCCCCCTTAAGGGAGCGCCAGAGCCACAGTTACATGTACTCAAGTGTGACGCTAAATTCTATTTTTAAATTCAGACAGAATATATCATTAGTCATTTACAGAAGGAAGCCATTAACATCTAAGAGGGTGGAGCCACAGAACTGCATGCTGCCAGTCGCTTATAAAACTAACTCTAAACACAGCAATAGCTGTAAATAATGTTTTCTATCTCTTAGAAAAATACGTTTTTTCAGTTTATTCATGCCAAGTTTTGAGTATAGTATTTTAGAACTTTCTTTTCAGTTAATATTTTCTCAGATTGCATAAGTGCTAAGAATTTAAGTTTTACATATTTATTATTCAGGAAAGATTTTCTCCATAAAAATGCTGTAAGAAGATTTAATCTAGAATGAGGACTTTGTCAATTTTATTCTTCTCTCTTTTTTTTTTTTTTTTTTTTTTTCCTTTTTATCGGTACCGGGGATCGAACTCACGACTGCCTGCTTGCAAGGCAGGCGCTTATGTTGCTGAGCTAAATCCCCAGCCCCATCAATTTTAAACTCATATGTATTTTCTTAAGAAAAACTCTCAGCCTATCTGTGCCATTTATAAAACTTTGAAGTGTTGGCGAATAATACTTCTTATACCATATGTTAACTTTTAAAGAAATAATTCTAACATACATTCTTAGTGGAGAATTAGGTATCATATAGAATGATGCATTTTAAGAGTGATACTTGTGGAGAAATTAAAGTTTTGTCAAGTGCTTAGTAAAAATTTTTAATACAGTGAAGATTCAGAGTATATGTATGACATTAGCCATGTGGTGCAATCTCTACACTTGATCTTTCCCAAAGGCTGAGAAGTGATGTGGTACAATTTCTGTTAATAGTTTTAACTGTTAAGCACTTCAATAAAATTATCTTGTGAACCTGAAACCACACTGTAAATTAGTTTTTGAATTTGCAGCTGGATCGTTAATATTTTTATGTTTCTTTTTACTTTTCTGACTAGATTACCTAATAAAGGACAAAGGCTCTGATAATTTGTGGTTGTATTCTCTGAGCTTTAACTATAGGCTGTCAATTGATATTATAGAATAGTTGAGCAAATGCTTCATATTTTATTTGTTTCTGTGTTTTGCAAAGTATGTCCTAATTCTTTGGGTGCTTTGTGATTTTATATTTCCCCAAAGAAAGTATTTCTTCAAACAGAAAGTTGTAAGAATTAGGATAACTGGAAGAGCCCAAAATAAAGCCAGGGGAATTGCATAACAGTGTGGCCTAATAACTTTCAGGTGTCTTTTTTACAAAACTATTAATTGAATCTTTAAATATCTTTATATTTTAACTGGAAAAGCCAGTGTCTTTGCATCCCTTTAAAATATTTAACTGTTAATGGATTTTAAATTCTAATTTCATGTTTCAGCTTAAGTATTTCAATGATGAAAATCTCTTTTCTTGAAAAAAAATGCTCCTAATCACTGATTTTATTATTATTTCATTACATAGCTATGATTAACAATGTCAAAGATCTCTCTCAACTGTAAATTGTTACAGCACCAATGAAAATTCTTCAAGCTTAGTGATCTCCAAGATGATAAACACTCATTAGCTAACATTCTTTTGGGTTCTTCATGTGTTTTTGCTAACCCATCTTTGTGGCATGTTCCTATTTTTGCTGAACTGAACCTGGATTTGTGAAAAGGATAAATTTTGAGTCCACATTTGAAAGCAGTTGCATGATGTAAAACAACTTTCAACAGAATATTCTTTAAATGGAATTTTGATAAAGCTAAATGAACTTTTGGTTGGGGGATGTAGCTTAGTGGCAGACCACTCACTTAGCATGCACAAGGGTCTGGATTCAGTCCCTAGAACTTAATAAATTAATCAGTTAATCAATCAATAAAATAAATGAATGAGTGCAAAAGCTTCTATATAACAAAACAACACGGGTTGGCTAGCTTCTGTTTAGAAGAGAAAGATTTAACGTTTCAAATGTAACATTCAAGTATAGAATGTTACATAATTACATAATTAGAAATATTGACATATAACCACTCAAAACTTTAAGAAACTTAAGAAAAAGATCACCAAATATTTTCATGAAATGTCATAGGTATTTCGGTACTATTGTCTTCCTTCTGGTTTATCACTGTAACTTTCCCTCACAGGTTGCCAACATGCCACTGCTTTCCAAAAACAATCAAATTTGAACCTCACACTGTTTCTTTTATTTCCAGAGTAATGTCATCCTCTTGCTAGATACCACTGGGCAGACCATTCGTCGTCTCGTCATGCCTTTGGAAGAGGAGATTTCGAAAAGATCATCCTGGTGGAACAACGAAGAAAGTGTATGGAAAGCCAATTGCCAAGGACTTTTGACGTTTTCTAACTCTAAAAATACATGTTGCCCACCCCTGTCTGTATCTCTTTTTTGCCCCACTTCAGTGTTCTCCTATTTATAGATTTTAAATTACAAATATATGTACTTATTTATATATATTTATAGATTTATATGTAGATATAGATATGTATCTATAGATTTTAAATTACAATTATATAGATGTAGATATTGTAACATCTTTTAGTATTCACCATACTAACATGAAAATTATCAGTATTGACCTTTATGAGCTATTTAGTAAGATATCAGAACAAATTTTACCTGTTTTCCAATTATGTGGTTATATTTTGAATCTATATGGTAAAATCATGAATATGATACCTGGTTGGCCCTACTTGATAAACATTTCAGTTTATTAGCTAAATTAAACTAGTACATGAACAGTGTAGGTCAACCCAAAAGAGTTTATTCTGCCATTCACATATAAAATGAATCCAATGTTCTGCAAGACAGAACACTTAGATTTTAAAAGCCCATAAAAGTAGATTTTTATGTGTCATAAATTAATCTAAGAAAAAAATACTTTTTATATGTTTCTAATATGATGTACATTCTATAGTTAATGGCCAGGTAGCACTTTATTTCTATGCAGTGTTTGACATTAGAATTTTGAAAACATTTTAGTACATAGTTTATGATGAGTTTTGTAATGTGGTTTAGTCCATTTTACCATAACTGTCTTGGGGTAGGCAAGCAGTTTCTCTCAGAGTTACATTTGTTATACATGGAAAATTTTCTATTTAAAGGGAAACAGCTATAGAGATGTGACGGAATCTGACACATTTAATATGGATATTTTGTTTTATTTTGTCTTTAGGAAGCTTATAAAATGTGTAAAGAATTTTCCCATAAAAACTGGATAGTAGTCTACAAAGAAAAAGGGTGAGTTTTTTATTGTAAAAGGTTTAAACTGGGATCTTTATTCTGTTTTCTTTCCTGTTTCAATTATACTTGTTTGGTGTCAAATTAACATAATCGAGTTATAAATATTTTAGTATAAAACTAAGCCTCCCCACATTGCAGAACACTGAGAAACAGATGAGCGTTCATGATTCCATAATACAGCCACAACTAATACAGCAGCTGTCACTTTCCATTATTTCTTCTCGTGCATACACTGACACAGTTTAGAATTTTATATAACTGTTTTCCAATTAACCTTTTTCTATGTTATTACTTACTTTTAAAACATTCCTTTTAGGTTATATAACATAGCATGAAATGACAATGCCATGGTTACTCAGCCATTATCCTAACCATTTCCTTGCAGATATAATTTTCTTCTCCTTTTTCAGGAACAGCTTGACGGTACTGGATGTTTTGGAAGGGCGAACTCACACCATCTCACTGCCTATCAACCTCAGGGCAGTTTTCCTTGTAGCAGAGGACAAATGGCTTCTGGTGGAGAGCAAAACGCATCAGTAGGTGAATCTGTGCATCGCCTGGGGAGAGCATGAGCTCAGTTTGTTTGTCCATCATCCAAAGCTGTCACTGTTCAGTCTTCCTTCTGTCTGTTTTAATAGTTTCTGTGTTTAGCAGCATAGCTAAAAGTAAGAGTTATAAGAAGAAAGGAGAAGGAGGAAATAGTTAAATTACATATCCCGTTTTAGAGTATAGCATTGAAGTTAACAGGAGCGAATAACGTTTACATATAATCCATGTTTATTTGAGATTTTTCATGTTAGCACACTCAGAACTCACTGTATTATTGCTAAACTAGAGATCCTTCAAAGTAGCTTTTCAGTTTAAATTGTCTTGCTGAGAGCCCTGTCTCTATCATAGAGCTTTGTCTTTGTCTGACTTCACAGAATGTACACCTTAGAAGTTACTAGTTTCATCTAGTATGCTCTTACTCTGTCATGTTTATGTTTGTGTGGCCTTGTCACCCCAGCTCCCTGCCCCCTGGGCCACATACTTCTTGATGAAAGGCAGTGCAAGACACTTGACTCATAAAGAACGTATGATGAATTCATATACTAGCTAAGTGCAGATTCTTTCTATCTCTCCTACAGAGCAGAAGTGGTTCGCTACAAACAATTCCAAGCTATTTGTGCATCTATGCTTTAGAAATCTTAAAAATAAATAGATCAAAGGGATTATAATGGTGAGGATTTATGTCCCTCCACTGGCCACAAATCAGAGATCATTCTCCGGCTTATTGCTTGATCAAAGAGCAAGATCAAGAGAGTGCTCCCTGCTAATGGGGATGTATCCCAATAAAGTTGCTCTTTTTTTTTTTTTAACAATGCTTTTATAGGAAATACTGGATTTTTTTAAAGAGAAAAAATAAAACAATGAGAGGATACAAGTAATACAGAATTTCAAGAAAAAAATATACAGTAAGAAATCACTAGTTAATGGATTACATATTGTCATCTTAGAAATAGTTGTTCAAATTACAAAATTAAAGCATACAAAGTGGACATTCAAACAGTGAGATTGCAAACAGTTCTGTTCAGTGATCCAACAAAAACTTAGTAATATGGTTTTCTATCTTACACACTTAAATATACATGCAGTTATATCCTTTAGCTCACTTTCTTTTCCTCTCTTTTTTACAATAACAATTAAACATTTTGGGTTTTATTACTCCCACAGTTCTTATTACTTTTTTTTTTTAAGAGAAAAAAAACAAATATGACAAGGCAAAACAGACTCAGTTAGAACAGAAGGATGGACGTAGTACATGACGTAAAAACAGAATACCAGGTGATCAACAATGGTTAGCATTATGCCTTTTGCTATCTTAAAAAGAGTTGCCTATATCATCAGTTACAATAGAATTGAACAAAACAGTACAGAATAAAACTTAAACATTGGAGACCTTACAGAACTTCAAAAGAAGATAATAGTCAAACCATAATGGGCATCATAGTAAATCTTATTGCATTCAAAGTGGTTGCCTATACCCTCAAACTTGATACTATCAAACAAAACAGAATAGAATAAAATCAGTCAAAACAAGATGGGGAGAGCAATACAGGTGTTCAAATCAGGTTAATAGGAAAACAAAAATTTACTATAATATATCCCACTATTTTTTAATTTATTTTTCCCTTAATTAAAAAAAATAAGAAAAAATAAATTAATTTTTTTTTAAAGAAAAGGGGAGATTGAGATAAAAGAGGACATAACAGAACAACACAGGTCAGAACAGAACAATTTAAGCGTCATAATGTTTCACCACCAGATAACCTGACATAATAGTAGCTACCATAGTGTCTCTTTCCTTGAAATATTTGAGTATAACTTCGCATACTATAGCATCAAACATATCAAGACAGTGTGAAACTATTCAAGAGAATAAAAGTATTACAGGGTATTTAGAACCAGCTAACAGAAAATGAGCAACAGTTTCTATATTATCGTTTTGCCTATAAAAATTTTTGTTTATACTATCACATATATTAAAATATAATAAGATACAACATGTTAAAATCAATGGAAACAGACAAGCAACAGCTTGATGGAACTTCAAAACAAGATGATATTAAATCAGCACTAGCTATTATGATGTCTTGTTTTCTTCAAAATAGCTGTTTATACCATCACAGACAATAAAATCAAACAAACCAGATTAAAACTATTCAAATTAATGAGTGAAAACATTATATGGCTTCAAACCAATATAATTGGGAATCATGATTACCACATACTTTTATTCTTATCATTTCTTATACTAGGGAAACTATTCGGTATTTATACATGTGAGTTTGATTTATTTCACTTATGAGTATGGTCTCAAGCTGTGCCCATTTATTTACAGATATCTCAATGTGATCATTCTTTATAGCTGAGTAGTACTCCATTATATAAAAATAACACAACTTTTTTTATCCATTCTTCAGTTGATGAACACTTATGTTGTTTCCAAGATCTGGCTATTACAAATTGTGCTGCTATAAACATAGGTGCACATATATTACTGTAGTATGATGCTTTCAGTTCTTCTGGGAATATGCCTAGAAGTGAAATAGCTGGGTCGAATGGACTTCCAATCCCAGCTTTTTGAGGAATCTCCACACTGAACTCCATAATGGTTGCACCAGTCTACACTCCCACCAACAGTGTGGGAGAATTACTTTTTCCCCACAGCCTCTCCAGCACTTGTTGTTGTTGGTTTTCTTGATCTTGGCCATTCTTTCAGGAGTGAGATGAAATCTCAGTGTGGTTTTAATTCGCATTTCTCTAATGACTGAGGATGATGAACATTTTTTCATGTATTTATTTGCCGTTTGTATTTATTTATCTAAGAATTGTGTATTCATCTCAGATGCCCATTTTTGGATTGGGTCTTTGAATTTGGGGTCTGATTTTTTTTAATTCTTTATATGTTTTAGACAGAAGTCCTTGGTCTGAGGCACAGTTCACTAAGATTTTTTCCCAGTTTGTGGGTTTTCTTTTCACTATGCTGGAGATTTCTTTTGACATGCAGAAACTTTTAATAAAAGTTGATCCCACTTATTGATTCTGGGAAGTATTTCCCATGCGGTTTGAGTAATGTTAATGAATTCTTTACTACCCCTGTGTCTTCAAGGTTTTTACCCAGTTTGTCTTCCAACAGATTTGTGTTTCTGTTTTAATATTTAGGTCTTTGATCCATTTAGATTTTATTTTAGTACATGGTGATAGGCATGGGTCTAGTTTTAGTTTTTGGCATATGGCGAGCCAATCTTTCCAACACCATTTATTAAAGAGACTATCCAGTGAACATGTTTGGCCCCTTTATCAAAGATAAGGTGGTTGAGTGTGTTTGTGTTTGTAGTTGTGGTTGTATCTTCTAATCTATTCCATTGATCTTCGGCTCTGTTTTGATTCCAGTACCATGTTGATTTTACTACAGTTGTTTTGTAGCGTAACTTCAGGTCAGGGATTGTGATGCCTCCTGACTTGCTTTTGCTGCTTAGAACTGTCTTTGCTATTCTAGGTGTCTTCTCACTCCAGATGAATTTTAGGTGTGATTTCTCGAGACCTATAAGGTATGTTGATGATATTTTTTATCGAGATTGCATTGTATCTGTATAACAGTTTTGGAAGAATGGCCATTTTCACAATATTAATTTTTCCTATCCATGAGCAAGGCATGTCTTTCCATTTTCTGAGATCATCTTCAATTTCATTTTTAAGTGTATTATAATTTTCCCTGTATATGTCTTTCACTTCTTTCGTGAGAGTAATTCCTAAATATTTCATTTTTTTGGTTGCTAGTGGGAAGGGTGTGGCTTCTTTTATTTCTCGGTCGGTGATTTTGTTGTTAGTTTATAGGAATGCTATTGATTTTTAAGTATTTTGTATACAGTTACATTATTCAATTTATTATATCTAAGAGTCTTTCAATGGAGTTTAGGGGGTCTTGTATGTAGAGTATCATGTCATCTGCAAACAATGATAATTTAACTTCTTCTTTTCCTATCTTTACCCCTTTTATTTCTCTCTCTTGTCTAATTGCTCTGGCTAGTATTTCCAGTACTATATTAAATAGGAATGGTGATAAGGGACATCCTTGTCTTGTGCCTGATTTTAAGGTAAAGGCCTTCAATTTTTGGCTATTTAGTATGATACTGGCTGTTGGTTTGTGATAGACGGCCTTTATTATATTGAGGTAAAGACCATCTATTCCAATTTTCTGCATGGTTCTTATCTAAATGAATGTTGGGCCTTATCAAAGGCTTTTTCTGCATCTATAGAAATGATCATGTGATGTTTACTTTTGGCTTTATTGATATGGTGGATTACATTTATTGATTTATGTATGTTGAACCATCCCTGCATGCCTGGGATGAATCCCATTTGTCGGGGTGTATGATCTTCTTGATGATTTGCTGCATCCTATTTGCCAATATTTTATTGAGGATTTTTGCATCTGTGTTCATTAGGGAGATTGGTCTGTAGTTCTCTTTTTTAGTTGGGCCTTTCTCAGGTTTTGGTACTAGAGTAATATTTGCTTCCAGGAACCACTTAGGAAGGATTGCTTCCCTTTCAATTTCATTGAAGAGTTTGAAGAGTGTCGGCATTAGGTCTTCTTTGTATTTCTTGTAGAATTCTGCAGCGAATCCATCTGGGCCTAGGCTCTTCTTTGTAGGTAAGGACTTAATTACGTTTTCAATTACATTAATAGAAATTGGGTTATTCAGCAGTTTTACATCTTCTTGACCTAGCTTTGGTACTTCATATGTTTCTGGGAATCTGTCTATTTCCCCTGTGTTATCAAACCTTTGAGAGTAAAGTTTTGCAAAATAGGTGTGGATAATCTTCTGTATTTCTATAGGGTCTGTAGTGATTTCACCTTTTTCATTCCTTATTGCATGAATTTGAGCTTTTTCTTCCCTTTTTTTAAAAATAAGGTTGGCTAGGGACTTACCGATTTTATTTATTGTTTCAAAGAACCAACTCTTTGATTCCTTGATTTTTTTTTTTTTGGATTGTTTTCTTAGTCTCTATTGCATTGATTTCTGCTCTGATTTTTATAATTTCCTCTCTTCTTTTGGCTTTGGGCTTGACTTGCCCTTCTTTTTCTAGATGTTTGAGGTGTAACATCAGGTTATTTGTATTCGTTCTGTTTTCCTGATGTGGAAACTCAGTGCAATAAATTTTCCTCTGAGCACAACTTTCATTGCATCCCACAGATTCCGGTAAAATGTATTTGTGTTTTCATTTGTTTTAGGGGTTGTTTAATTTCTTCTTTAATTTCCTCTGTGACCCACTGATTACTCAAGAGTGTGTTATTCAGTTTTCATGTGTTTGTGGGATTTTTGCAGTATCTTTTATCATTAATTTCTAATATCATACGCTATGATCCAATAACATGCAAGGGATAATTTCAACTTTTGCATTTATTTAAATATGTTCTGTGAGTTAATATATGGTCTGTTTTAGAGAATGACCCATGTACTGCTGAGAAGAATGTGTATTCTGTTGTTGGGTGGAATACTCTGAATATGTCTATCCCCATTTGTTCACATGTGTGATTCAGTTCTTTTATGTCTTTGCTGATATTCTGTCTGGTTGATCTGTCCATTGGTGCCAATGGTGTGTTAAATTCTCCTGTTATAATTGTATTACTGCTAATTTGTTTTTTTATTTCTGTTAATACTTGTTTTATATAACTGGGTGCTCTGTAATTTGGTGCATATACATTGAAGATAGTTATCTCTTCCTCTTGAAATTTTCCCCTAACCAGTATGTAGTGACTTTCTTTATCTCTTCTGATCATTATTGGTTTGAAGTCTACATTGTCTGCAAACAGAATAGCTACCCCCGCTTTTTTTTGGGTTCCCGTTGCATGAAGTATTGTTTTCCATCTTTTGACTTTCAGTCTGTGAGTATCCTTTTGGGTTAAATGAGTTTCTTGTAGACAGCATATGGTTGGATTTTGTTTTTTGACCCATTTTTCCAGTCTGTTTCTTTTAGTTGGTACATTGAGGCCATTTACATTAATGGTTATAACTGTTACATGTTGGTTTATTATTGACATGTTATCTTTCTGCTGTTGCATCTTTATCTTTCTGTTCTGTTTAATTGTCTGCTTTGTTTAGTGGTTTTTTTCCTTAGTGTATTTAAACTGTCTTTCAGTATTCTTTGCAGGGTTGTTTGGTGATCATGAAGTTCTTCAGCTATTCCTTGTCATGGAAGTATCTTATTTCTCCATCAATTTTGAAGAACAGTTTTGCAGGGTACATCAGTCTAGGTTGGAAATCATTTTCCTTTAGGATCTGAAATACTTCACTCCATGCTCTTCTTGACTGTATTGTTTGTGCTAAAAAGTCTGCAGTGATTCTGATAGGTTTTCCTTTATAGGTGATCTGTCTTTTCTGACAGCTTTCAATATTCTATTCTTTTGTTCAATTTCTGGGATGGTGATTATTATATGTCTGTGTAGTTTTATTTTGGTTATGGTTGTTTGGAGTTCTATATGCTTCATTGATATTGATATCAGTTTCCAATTTCATATTTGAGAAATTTTCAGCTATTACTTCTCTAAATATCCTCTTGACATCCTTTATGTTGTCCCCTTCTTTTTCATTTATCCCTATCAACCTTATGTTGTTTTTCTTTGCATCATCTTGCAGGTGTTGAATTGTTATTTCCTGATTTCTTGTTATTTTTAAAAAGTCTTTCCTTTCCTGTTCACTGGCTGCAATCTTGTTTTCGAGGTCTGAAATTTTATCTTCACATTCATTGAGGCAGTTTTTACAACTTTCAATGGCATTTTTGATTTCCTGTATATCTCTTTGCATCTGCTTTATATATTCTGTTTGTTTCTTATATTGTTCATCCAGGGATTCTGTCTTTTTGTTTAGTTCCTCCAACTTTTAAACTGTGTCTTCTTTAGATATGTTCAACATTTCCTTCATTTCTTCTTTTACCTGAGAGATTATTTCTAGTTTGAATTCTTTTAAAGCTCCCCGGAGTTGCTTCTTTATTTCGGTTACTATTATTTCAGGTATTTCAGGCATATGGCATGTATTTTCTTTTATGTACATGGCTCCTAGGCTTTTTTCGGATGGGCTGGATGTTTGAGATTGCATTTTGGTCTTTCATTTTGTCATTTTCCCATATTTCCATATTTCAAATGTTGTTCCAATGCTTCCCCTGGACGTGTTGAAAATTGTCTCCTATGCCCTGGGCTCCTGGGACTCCTCTGGTAGTGTAGCTCCCTCCTTGGGCAGCGAGGTCCCCAGATTATAAGAAGGTTGCCAGGCGCCTCTCAGGTAGACCTAAAGTCTCCTCAAGCTACACAGCTCCCCCCTCTGGCAGCAAAGCTCCGCTGAGGGAAAGAAGGCCACCTGGTATGGTCCAGGCAATCCCAAATCCCACTAAGCCCCATCTAGTGTGGCTGCAAGCCCAGCAGGCCCCCAACCCCCTAGAGCAAGGATCTCATACTCTCCCGGGGATTGGATGTTGTGTAACCATCCAGCTCCTTGGATGGCAAAGCTCCCCAGGTTGATAGAAGGTCCCCCTGTGGCCTAGGTGGGCCTCAAACCTCCTCAGCAGGGGCTGTTCCCTCCTCCAGGTGGTGGCAGTAGTGCTGGTGCGCTCCAGGTAGAAAGAAGGTCACAGGGGAGGCCAGAGCAAGTTCCCGCAGCTTTCCCTGGTTCCCTCCTTCAGGCGGGGCAGCTGCCATGTACCCTCTGGGTGAGAGAGGGCAGTCAACAAGGCTGGAGCAGGATCCAGCTCACTCCTCCAGGCGGGCAGCTGCAGTGTGCCCTCCAGGTGAGAGAGAGTGATCAGCAACGTCGAAACAGGGTCCCCCGGCTCGGTTCAGCTCACTCCTCCAGGCGGGCAGCTGCAGTGTGCCCTCCAGGTGAGAGAGAGTGATCAGCAAGATCGAAACAGGGTCCCCCGGCTCGGTCCAGCTCACTCCTCCAGGCGGGCAGCTCCTACACTAATGTCTGGGGATGGACCTCATGGCTCCTTCCTCAGCAGGACTGTTGGTCTGTATAATCCTCCTTCTATTCTTTGACTGCTGTGTTTAAAGACACCTGTCATAATACCATTGTGCAGCTTGAGAGTCTCCTAGGGTCTTTCTTATACAGGCGGTAGCTTGTAGAGTTCACAGAAAGCAGCGCATCCAGCTAGGGTACACTCTGCAGTGTGCTAGGGGAAAGCTACAAGGTTTTCTTTGTCCTTCTCCTTTTTCCCCGAAATACTGGATTTTTAAAATTCACATTACTTCATGATCATGGAATACTACATATTCTTTGACATGATAAAATGCAGAGATTGCAAATTATACTCAGAATATTTTTAAAGGACTTGGAAGGAAAAAGACTAATTTTTCTTGGTCTTCTCTGAGAATTACTAGGAAAAAAATGTTTTTCACTGAAGTTAAATGTTTTGTTTCTTTACAGAAAATATCTTCTAACAAAGCCAGCACATATTGAATCTAAAGACAGTGGGGTTTGCCAGTTATATGTCTTGAAGGAGGAGCTGCCAAGCACTGGGTTTGGAGTTACCCAAGGTAAATATTATGTTCTCTGTGTCTAGGCCTGGGATGCATATGTATGCGTACTGCCCTCTAGATTCACTGAACAACAGTAACAACAACAATAACTCCAGCCTATGGGATGTTCAAACCAAAAGAAAAATTTAGTCACAACACTAAAACTATGAAGTGAGAATCTACAACCTTTCAAATAATCTTCAGAAAGTTCACCCTTTTAAGCTCTCTGAAAGTTTTAACAGAAAAATTACAATCTGTACTTACATTTTGGTCCAAGTGTAATTAGGATATATATATATATATATATATATATATATATCCCCCCACACACAGACCATCAAAATACCTACTTAATTTATTCATCATGGGGAGGTGAATAGTGACTTCACCATTACCGAATTGGGTCAGTTCCATGCCTTTTCCGAAGGGATCTACTAATGACAGCTTTTATTGCTAATATTTAATCCATAAATGCTTTGAATCATTTTGAGAAGATGCTTAGATTGTAAAAACAGAGCTTTCTCAGACAAAAACTCATGAGTGCAATTTAAAGTGTTTTCTCTTTTTACCTTGTTTTTTCTTATTGTTTGTTGAGAATGAAATCTTTCAAAAAATTAGTTTGTAGAGAAACCAGAAGCATATAATGTCTAATGCTTGTCTTTTACTTTTTAGAAGGAGAATTTAGCATACCTCATAAAGTTTCCAGGGATCAACTGTCATCTGAAAATCTAAGTTCTGCTGTGGGACAAAAGATTGCCTCTCCCAACCGAATTCTCTCAGATGAGAACAGTTATGCTACCATAGTTGTTGGTTTTCCAGATCTCATGGTAAGGATCAACTTTTTCTATTATGGAACAAATATTTTTAATCTTAAGTTTGGCCCATAAGCCATAAGCCTATTTTAGGGATAATTTAAAATATAATAATTTTCCAGTAAATATTTCAAATCAAGTTCCCATTTGTAATCAGTTGCAAAATATATCTATGTAATTATATCATTTTTTAAAAACTAGCATTTAAAGCAATGGTGTAATTTAGGAAGGAGTCACAAGTATTATTCACGTGCGAGAGTTCAGACATTAGTAGGACTTAACCCACTTACGGAGGTTTTCTATTGTGTTATCTGTACTTTGTCAAGAGGAATAAAGTGAGACCAATGAAGTCCATCTTTTGGAATTTTTTACATTAAATTTATTGAAGTGTCATTACAATAAAAATTTTAACACTTACGAGCACCAATTCACTTTCCATTGGGTTCCACTCTGATTTATCTTACCTTTGCAGCACTCTGTAAAATGATACCACAGTGGACTAAGGTCTCAACTTTTCTTGTCTATGGGCCCTTCTGCTGTTTTCACTGTTACCTTGAAAGGAGAAGCTATTTATAATTGACTTCATGTGAAACTGGGCACCATCCTTCCCTGATGCAAATGTGGGAAAATGAAATACAAGGGTTATTTCAGTATAAGTTGTCATCCAATAATCTTAGGTGAAGCTCCATGTGATACCATGAAACATTTATTTTTAATCATTTCCTTTGTAGCTTTTAGGTGGGATGATAGAATCATTCAAAGATAAAAATACTGGGCTCTGCTTGATAATATACAATCTCACATCACTGAAAAATTTAATATAATTAATGAAGGTTTGGTACTTCAGAATATAAGATAATAGAAACCCAAAAACCAATGGATAATATGTGGCTTAGGACTTTGCCATATGCCTTTCTAATTATTGAGTAAAAAAGCATTTGCAAGCATATTATATAATTAGAAGATGTGTTGCTGGAATACAGTCTCTATAGCAGCATTAATTGAATGGAAGAGATGTATTTAATATGCTCTCTCAATGTTTGCTGCTATGAGTAGAAGAAATACTAGAACTTTTTTGTGGAGATGAAACTAAACAATCCATCTGATTACTTAATCTGATTAAGCTATTACTATGGAAACATAATGTTACAGTAACAAAGGTGAAAAAAATAAAAGCTGAGTATAAGATATTGTTATATTACCCTACAGAAATCCGCTCTAGCTTTTAAAATTAGTGTTCTGGTTAAAGTAAAACCCGTATCCTTGATTGTCCCCAGCCATGGGAGATGTGGAGTGAATATTTGCTAAATGGAAGAGTAGTGTCAGGTAGCCTTTCAACGTTTTATAATCATAAGACGTCATATTTTTATGCCCCAGTGCAACAATAAAGCACTGTATTGTTCTAAACCCTTCGGCATATGACAATTCTATGGAGTCTTATACGTGAAAAAGTAGAAACAGAAAGATACTGTGTACCCCAAGAACCACACAAGGAACCGGGGCTTGAGCTCAGGAGTGTCTACCCACACTGCCTTTCTGCTTTTAAGTGAATCTCTTTGGATTCTATATACAACTCACAACAAAGCAGTATGTCACCCCTTAATAACTTTTCTATATTTGTCAGAGGCAGCAAATTATTATAAACATTGTAACTTTCTTAACCTCCTACCAAATACAGTAGCTATAAACACCTATAGCAAATGCCATCCTCAATAGAGAACATAAAATGCACTTAATTATCAAAAATAAGATTAGGATATCTACTATCACACATGTACTAAATATTTTTCTGAGTGTCTGAGATGCGATACATAAAGAGAAAATCGATCAGTTATACTTCATTAAAATTTAAAACTCCAGGTCTATAAAAGACATTGTTAAAGAATGAAAAGACTTGTAGATGTGGTGGGTACTGCCTGTGACAGCAGCACTCTTGGAGTCTGAGGCATCAGTAGCACAAGTTTGGACCCTGCATGGGCAACCTGGTTAGATTCTGTTTCTAAATAAAAAATTAAAGGGACTGGGGATATAGCTTGGTACAAAGACCTGGGTTCAATCCATACTGCCCAGAGACAGAGAGAGATGAGGGAGAGAGAGACAGAGAGGGAGAAACGGAGAGACAGACAGAGAGAAAGACAGAGATAGAGAGAATATATCTATAAATCTGCATGTTAGAGCAAAATATTTGCAAGCCATTTTTATATCAAAGGACTTGTATCCAGAATCTGTATTTCTTGAAACTCAACATTAAAAAACAATTACAATTTTAAAATGAGCAACAAATAAGCCAGTGTAAAGTGTGAAATATCAGAGCCCAAGCAGAGGGAAGACCTCCCCTCTGTGGTGCGGAAGGGTGCATGTATGGGACTGTATTTTATGAGACCATTGCTGATTGGTGAGCATAGGTTATTGTATTTGACAGTTAGCTATCTGTGTAAGAAAAGGATGAACAAGGGCTCTTCCTCCCATCATTTACAAAAATTAATTCCTTATGAGTTTAGGGATGAGATATAAAAAACTTTAGAGGACTATAAAGGTTTTTAGAGGAAATATAGGAAAATATGGTCTGTGATCTTGGGAAGATCATTAACTATGCATGGTAAAATTTTAAAGTAAAACAAAAGAAAAACATAACACAAAATTCCAGACGAATTAGATTTAGGGAAAACAGAGACATGTCTCTCTCTGAGACAGGGATACTCCAAAGATTTCAGAATTACCAGTTCTGTTCTACTCTTTCTGCTAAAAAGTAGAATATAGATTTTTTTGTATTATTTTTAAACTAATGGTATTGTTGTGTTCCCTCTTTTTAGTTGTAATTTGTTTCAAAATAAAAAAAAAATTAACTTGTGTATTTCACTCTTGGCTAGAAATTACAGTTATTGGTGAAACAGCCATTCCACAAAACGCTAAAAAAATAATTTGGTTTTCTCATACCATAAAAATTTACCACTGGTATCTGCTTAAAGGGTTGCACTGTAAAATTTATGGTGAGCACAGGATACAGTGTTTCAGTACTTTAATCTCTCTCCCTCCTCTCTTTCAGTCACCCAGTGAAGTTTATTCTTGGAGGAGGCCAACATCTTTGCATAAATCAAGTGTCCCCAGTACATCATTCTATGGAGAGAAGAAAAAACATAAGACTCCAAAACAGAGCAATTGTGTGATTCTTTCAGATACTAATCAGGTAGTCAGGATTTTGCCCCCAGGAGAAGTCCCTTTGAAAGACATCTATTCAAAAGGTAAGGATTTACTAATTCCTAATTTACCAAGCTGATTAAAGGTAGCTTACTTTTTATTGGGGATATTTAGTGTATCATTGCCCTTTCATGTTTATAAATAGCTTTGGTAAGGGACATTTAGTTTATCACTACCACTTAGTATTTATAAATATGAATCATTCTGACAAGTTAGAAGTAGCTTTAAAAAGATCTATGTGTATTTTGAAAGTGCTCATTCATCTTCACATGTGTATGTTTGTCAGCTCGTCTTCAATGGCACTACATAGAACATATTTTTCTGATGCCTTTAAGAATTATTAGGCTATTAGACCAAGAAACTCATGAGACTCAGGGCCAGGAACTTTGTAGGTTAGCTGATTCACTCATTAGTACCGTGCAGGTCAATTTATGTTTATTACTTGTTTATTACCGCAAAAATATATCCAAGTGCAGTACTGGTTGCTTTTTTATAAATCTACTGAATTGTCAAACATCCATCCCATTGTTAGCTTGCTCTTTGATTTATACATGAGGAAACTCTGACACAGGAAGGTTAAAGTACTGGCTCAGGGTCACTCAGTAGCCAACAGAACCCAAATTTGTAGCAAAGACTTCTAATCTCAAGTTTATTCTTATTGAGCCATACTGGCATTCATTGTAATAAATAATTATAAACATTTTTGAACATTGAGTCATTGACTGTTCTTATTTGTATCACAGTGGTAATAACGTGTTATCTGCCTTTATGTTCATTATATCAATGTGACCCTTACAAATTAAATGTTAACTATGTTTTAATAATAATCTATTACTGGCTTTGAAAAGTCCTAATTAAACAAGCATATTTAGAATTAGCCCCTTCCAAACCGAAACTCTTGAAAAATGAATCATCATTTCCTTAAAATGTCTTCTATGGTGAAAGAGGCAAATGAACACACGGACAGTTGCAGTACAGTGTAATAATTGCCATTTGGGAATATTCACAAGGCTCTGCACCAGCAGAATGAGACACGTACAAGCCAGCCCTGGGATAAGGTGACTCCTGAAAGATGAGCAGAAGTTAATCAAATGAAGGGATTGTTCCAGGAAAAGAGGGCCACATGAGAGAAAGGTAGAGGAGCCTGGCAGAGCTTTCCAGGAGTCAACATGGTGCTCTGTAACCAAAGCTTAGCACACCTTCCTCACCCATGCATCTGGCATCGACTCTTATCCTGCATTCTAATCCGTCACCAACCTCCACGCGTTTGGATGGAACCTCAGCGATATAGCCTGTTTTTCCATTCTGTCACCAGCATCCCACGCAAAGCGCCACGGCTACAGTGTTGCCATCACTTGCTGTCACTGTGACCTCTTCCTTTCTTCCCCTTTCCTGCCTGTTCTCCATACGTCACAGTAAAGCTTCTAATGTATTTACTTGTTCTTATTAAAGTCCAGCTTTTACACAGTAAAATTCACCTTCCTATTGTATAATTCTGTGGGTCTGACAAAATAGTTGTGTAATTGCCACCCCAGCTGATAAAGAGTCCCCTTATTCCCAAATTCCTCCCATGTCACTGTGGTCAAGTCCTCTATCTACCTCCAACCTACAGCTGCTCTGCTTTCTGTCCTTACACATTTGCTTTTTATCAGAATATAGTATTAACAGAATCATACTGTATGTAGGCTGTAGTCTTTTTAGTTTGGTTTCTTTCACTTAGTATAATGTATTTGAGAGTCATTTATGTTGTATATAATAATTCATCTTATTGCCACATGATAGTCTGTTGTATGGATGCACCAAAACTTGCCTATGCATTCACCAATGGATAGATATTTATATTTCTTCCAGTTTTGGACAATAATAAATAGGGTACTTTAACCATTTGTGTAGTTTTTTAAGTGAACATAGATTTTTGCTTCACTTGAGCAAATACTTAGAAATGGCTTTTTTACATCATATAATAAATTGCCAAACCATTTTGTAAAGTGGCAGTACCGTTTTGCAGCTCTGTCAGCAATGGATGGGAGTTGCTGTGTACCTTCTCGGTACTTGGCATGTCAGTATTTTAACCTTTCCATGGTGCTATCATTATAGTACTTTCGCCAGCACCTGATGACATTGAGCACTGTTTCATGTGTATCTTATTCATGCAGTGACTCTTCAGATCTTTGTCGATTTTTAATTGAGTTGTTCTCATTTATGAGTTTTGAGTGCTTTTTATGTATTCTAGATGTAAATCCAGTGCCAGACATACACTTCTAAAACATTTCTTCCTATTTTGATGAAGGACAGATACCCTGATTTCTTCTAGAAGTTTTAATGATACAAGGCATAGAAACGAACATAGAAGCCCAAGAATCAGAGCCTCATATTAATTCAGAGGATTCAGAAGACCTTAGCAGAATGTGGTACAGGAAGGAATTGGTCATCACCATGCTGATAGCTCAGCTTTTGTTTTCACAGTTTTATTTATTCTTCTTTGACAAGGCACATTAGATTCTTTCCAATTTTTTGCCATTACGCATAGCGGTGCTGTGAATATTCCATTTGACTCTTTGTATATATATATATATACATATGTTGAGTCCATAGGGCTCTGTTTAAGAGTGAAATTACCAATGTTGTTTTTCCAGCAGCATGAAAACCTCACTGGAGAATGCCATGATATGGAACCCCATAAATAAAAGCCTTTTTTATGGCACACATCACTCTTTTAACTTGTGCGTAAAGACAGAAATGCATTAAACCTAGCAGTTAGCAAGTCAACATGAAATTGTGTTTGTAGAAAGACTGAAATTTTTCAAACAATTTAATCTCCTCTTTGAAGATTTTCCTGGTTGTTTCACCTGACAGTTTTTATGCTACTCTTAACCTGGCATTGTGCATATAATCGGTCCCCACTGTTCTTGGGAACAACATGATAAACATGCAGCCACGACTTCCATTTAATGGTCAGTGAACTAATCTCTAAATGCAACTTATTCCTATCTTTGAAATCCACCTGGATTATAAATGTAATGGAAATGTACAGAGCTTCTTTTCTGTCTACAGTGTAGAAACATCTAAAATGCCTGGACAAGGACTTAACTAAGTTTGGAGAAAAAGCCAGACAAGTTTTCATTCTCTTAATTTGAATATTCTGTTCAAGGATATCCATAAAGCTTTTAATGTATTGTCACGTCAGGAAACAGAACTTTTGATTATTTAAAGAATGCTTACCTCTGCTATCATGGCTTCCACTATTCTTAATACTTCCCCACTAGCCACAAATTCCCTTTTCTGATATACGAAAATATTTTTTTAATACCGGAAATACAATTTCTGCTTCCTCCCTCTTGAAATAGAAGGCAGAAGCTATTATTGTATTTTCTTACCCTCTATGCTGTGGAATTAATTTTCATAGCGAAAGGAAAGATGTAGAAAAAAATAATTTAAAATAAATTGACCTATGTTACTTTCCTGGTGACCCGAAAGCACTGATGGCAATAGTTCAGTTTAATACTACTACTTATGGAGAAGAAAAAGCTTTAAGTGCACCAAAATGTTTAAAATGACGAGTTAGGCAGCTCAAATCATCCCAACAGCTTCAGTAACTGGTTGTTTTGGGCAGAAGAATCATGATCTATAAATAATTCAACCTATTTCAGCAAGGTTCTAGCAGCAAATATTGTCAAAAATTGTACATACTGTAAAACTTTAACCACAATTGACCTTATATCCCGAGCTGCACAATGCAGAAGGTGTGTGATCTTTACAATAAGCATGTTCATTTTAGACAAAGGGCTTTCAGGGCACGGCTATCTATACAGGTGGACAGATTATAGAATGACTGTCTTTCCTTGCCCCCTTTCTCTGTGTGTCTCCTCTTCCTCCTGAACTTTTGTTCCCTGGAACTTCCTCTTGCCTAACTCTGCAGTTCCTCCGGGACCCCAAGTTGTAATTCCCACTGGGATTGCTCAAAAGTCCCCAGAGGCCTTCAGTGGCTTGAAAACAAAGAAATAAAATGGAAGGAGAGAAAAGAGATAGGTAGGGAACTTTCCTCTTTATGCTAGGAGCTCCTTAAAGGCAACATCGCTTTGTATAATATTTGGTGAAATTAAGCTCAAACATGTCCCCACTTTATAGCAAAGGAAAGCACACCTCAGAGAGATAAATAGCATAATCCAGCTAGAAAACATAACAAAGCCAGAAGCCAGAAGTTTACACCAGCTCACATTGATTACAAACTGGGTGCTAATTTTACCATTTTTATTGATTCCCACTCAGTGGGGTTGTCACTTCCCAAAAAGGGGAACAGAATTCAGACGATGAACTATTTTCAGATAAACTATTGATGCTAAGGGCCAGGGGTATAGCTTGGTAGAGTGCCTGTCTAGCGTGTGTGAGGTCCTGGGTTCAATCCTTGGTAAGGAGGGAAAGAAAAATGACTGTAAATACTGAGACATTGACCTATCTTGAGAAGCTTTCAAAGATGATGAAAATAAAGGGGCTATTTTCTGATCCTAAAAAATCACCAGTCAATATGCTTTCTTTTGACAACTTCCATGTTTCCCTAAGAGAAACATAATTTTCAATCCAGCTGTGAAAAGTAGACTTAGCCAGTGGCTTGTCAAGTAGATCTCAGAGCTCTACGCTAGTCTATTGATAACTTCCTTGTGCCTCTAGTGGTATTCAAGTATTCCTGGGTTCCTGATTTGATACCAGTCAGTCCTTTAATACTTGGCTCATATCATGACTTATTTGCAGATGTTAACCCTCCACAGACAGCTGGGTATATAGAAGTCACTGATCTTCAATCAAAGAAACTCCGATATGTCCCTGTTCCCAGGTAATTCATTTCATCTTTGTCCATAGCTTAGCATGCCATTTTAAAAAAATGAATTCTTAGCAAGGCAAAGGGTTACACGGCCGTCATGCCAGATACCAGGGAGGCTGAGGCAGGAAGATCACAAGCTTGAGACCAACCCAGGCAATTTAGCAAGACTTTGTCTCAAAAGTTAAATACATTTTTAAAAAAATTAAAGCACTGGGAATGCAGTTTAGCACTCCCTGGGTTCAATCCCCAGTACAAAAAAATTCTTACCAAGTTCTCTGAATAAATGTGTAATTTTTACCTCCTTAAATAGCAAGCTTTTCTTTCCCTGGTTACACTTGGTTTATATCTTGCTGTTCTGCATGCTTTACTGGCATTTTTATTTTCATTTTGGAAAAATATTCAAATATTTCAAGAAAACTATAAGTGCTAAGGGCTGGGAATAGGTATAAGTTTCACGGCCTTCCAGCCTTCATTCTTTTTTTTTTTTTTGATCGGTTCTGATGCTGTTGTTCTGTACCAAAAATAGCAGTTAGTATTATAAGAATTTTAACACTTATTAACTTTATATATTGGTTTTTCTGAAGTTTGTGTTCAAAATGTCAAAGGAATTTAAGAGCATTTGCTTAATATTGTTCTTAAATATGTTACTGAGCATTTACAGTCAAGAAGCCCATATAGGAGTCAAAGGGTTCCCAGAGAGTTAGACTGGAACTCATTACCATTCACTGCCTTTATTGGTCCAGAGGTAGAAGCAAAGGCTTTTAAATCAGCCAGATTCAGCATCCAAAAGCAGATCCATCAAGCTGGTGTCTGTCTTTGAGGAGCACAGAAACAGGCATTCTCACCTGCAGCATGGCCTTCACTGAGCATTGTGCCTTGTCTTCCTCTACTTAGCCTGACTTGTCTCCCAGGACAAAATCTCCTTTCTCTAATCTTTGCAGTCTACTTTGATCTAGATTAGGATCATATTTTACCCTTCCCCTGGGAGGAATTTCTCACATGTGACTGAACCCTCCGAAAAATGGTAGGTAAAGCTTTGCCTGCCATCTTAATCAGAGGATCCTGGAGAGCTTTCCTGTATCAAAGGAAAGCCAGGGACAGCCTTGGCTGTCATCAGCAGATAACCTTTCTTCCTTTTCCTCTAACCTTAGAGAAAAAGAGCTCAGTATGAGAGCATGAAATAACTCAGCAATACATAGTTACATTCCTTAGGACCCTTTAATTAGTTTCAAAAAACTATGCAACATGAAGTCATTATTCAAAGAAGTTTATTTTCTTGAATATGAATGTATGTAAGTATGTATACATATATGCACAACTTTACCACATCTTTGAAACATGTTTATGCATGGTTTATGGAAAAAGGCAAGATGCCTTCCTTCATCTTATTATACTATTAAGATGGTTAGCTCAAATAACAAAAGCAAAGAGTATCTTTTTTAAAAAACATCTTGAAGCATTGATAATTTTTCCAATATTTCTCCCCCCAAGAGCTTTTTCTTTCAGAGTCTGGAAATTTTCTGTATGAGCTATATGTTCTTTTACCTGTCATAAGAAGAATCATTGAAGAACAGCTGTGTATGCCACCAGCCCCTAGCTGAGCACTATAATTTGTACATTTTAAGCAACATTTTCCAATAGAAATGTAACTCAAGCCATGGATACAATTTTGTGCTTGTAGCCACAAAAATATTAAAAGATCCCAGCACTGATTGCAGGTTCAAGCATAGCCTAATCACAATATGCTAGGCAACTTAGCAACCTTAGAAAGACCCTGTCTCAAAATAAAACATGAAAAATGACAGAGGATGTAGCTCATGCGGGGGTCCTGATTCAGTCCCACCTACAAAGAAAGAAAGGAAGGAAAGAAAGGAAGAAGTGAGAGAAATAGATAAACTTAACTTTAATAATTATTTCATTTAACCCTGTGTATCAAAAATATTATCATTTTTTGACATGTATTCAACATAAAATATTTAGTATGTACTATAACAGAATACCATAGACTTGGTGCTTTAAATGACAAACATGTATTTCTTATGGAAGCTGTAAGAGCCATGGTCAAGGTGCCAGCCAGTTAATTTCCTGGTGAATGCTGTCTTTCAGACGGCTACCTTCTAACTATCCTTGAATGGATACTATTACATTACTATTCTTGAATGGATAACATCACAATATTATCACATTGAAGACCAGCATGTGAATTTACTTCTGTCTCATTGCTGGGACAAAACACCCAACACCCAAATGAAGGAGGAAAGGTTTGTTTAGCTCACTGTTTGTGGAGGTTTCAGTCCATAATCAACTGGCTCCAAGGCAGGGTGGCATGGCACCGGGGCCGCACTTCAAGGCAGCAGCCAGAGCAAAAGGAGGAACAAGCCTCTACTCCTCTGTTTCATATTGTACACAGCCTCCCGCTCCTCCCAGGGCCTTTGTAACACACGAAATCTCTGTGCCCTCCTCTTACCCAGGATGAAGATATTTACAAAGTTAAGGATCCTTGCTCCCTGCTGAGTCTCTTAAACTTCTAAATTTCTTAAGTTGACATAATATATCAACCATAACAGATACTATCTTACTGTTCTTGAATAGATACTGTCACAATACTATCACATTGAAGGTTAGGACTTCATGTGAATTTTGGGAAACACAAATACTCAGGCTATAACAAAATTTTTATAACAATTAAGGAACCTAAATAACTTTTAACTAGCTTCATTACCTGAATAACATATTGTGATTAATTGTACAGTATTTTTCTTAAAGTAGCTCATTTTTATATTCATTATTGTCCTGCTTTATGTTTACAAATTCAATATATCCTGTCTCATCATAACACATCTCCTTGCACCTCCTTGTGCGTGAGGGAGGAGCATGTATGAAAGGGTGAGTAATGTTGTGAACGTACTGGAAAGAACATTTCGAATGTAAAGTATCACCCTCCTGCTTTATTTTTATAGTTTCACATTGGATTCCTTTTTCAGATCAGAATCTCTCTCGCCTTATACCACATGGCTATCAACTATTTCGGACACAGATGCTCTGCTGGCTGAGTGGGACAAAAGTGGTGTTGTTACGGTTGACATGGGAGGTCATGTCAGGCTTTGGGAAACTGGGCTCGAAAGTCTTCAGCGGTCACTCATGGAATGGAGAAACATGATTGGACAAGAAGGCGACAGACACATGCAGGTACCACACGTACTGACCTTACACAATGGTACACAGTAGGTATAAATGCCACATTTGAGAAAATGTCTAGCTTAGTGACTTAAATACAGGTGCTTAAATATAGCTAAACTCACGACAGAAAAAGATAAATCTATCCACATAGGTAGTTTAAAAGTAAAAATATGCTTTTTTTCTACGAGTGCTTAAATATACAAGTTACTAAAAACAACATGAAAATGCAACTATTGGTCTTCTCATTACTAGTTTCTAATACCAACTTTATTTCATGTGTTGTCATTTTTACAATCTCTATTGTCAACATCTCTACATGCTACCCAGGCAACAGAAGCATTGAAGAGCTAACATTCAACGGACTCTTACAAGGCCCAAATCACTAAGCCAAAGATTAGCAAAATGTGCACCCAATAGGGTTTTTATCAGCTTCCTTTTTTTCTAGATAATATAAATTTAGCAATCACAATAAGTAGACCCAGGCCTGCACTGGAAAGAAATATGCGACTAGGCCTCCAAAGCAAAAGGAAAACCCAGCAACTCTGGAAAAGACTAGTTGCTGTCTGAAACTAATTGAAAGAATGAATGAGGAAGGATATATATGTATGCGTGTGTGTGTGTGTATATATGCATATAATAAAATGCTTTATTTAAAATTTATTTTAATCTTGAAAAAAACTGTTTACTTTTCATTCTTATCTACAAAAAGAAAGTAGGTTCTTGCCAGCAGTGTTGATCTGCAAAAAGCCAATTAATAAGATGTTTCCACTGACTAGTCCATCAATAAATTGATCAATAGTTACTATTTTATATGATATTTATATGATTATTCTGTGATTTCCCTTAAAAGAGAAATCAATATGTTTGTGAATGATTAATACATATTTCTCTTAGATTATAAAAGCTTATGGGAAAATATCAAACCAAAGTAAGCTGGCAACTGAAGTTCTTTTAAATGGACATAAATAATTAAATTAAAATCAATGTACTGCTCTAAATTAAGCATGTTGTTAAGTGTAATGGGTCTATTTTTGCAATAGATAGATGTTGATCACTACCCATAACATCATTTAGAAAAGTAATTACTTATGATTCTGTTTCTTTTTTATGCTGAACATTAATTTCTTCTCTGAATTAAGTTCCTAGCTTCATTAAAGTCTTTGGCACCTAATAGTAAATACAATTGTTATTTAAATTTCATTTAGTTTATTTTAATTTCTCATATGTCATCGAGATCAAAAGTCATGTTTTTCCTATGGTTAAGATCAAAGGCCTAAATTGAGTATTTTATTTTTTTCTCAAGAGAACTTTTGAAAGATTTTAGTAATGATTTTGATAATGTCTCTTCACTGCTACAAAATTTAAATACTGTGTTTTAACTGTATAGCTGCTCTTCCTAGATATTTCTCTGACTATACTGTGATTTTTCTGTTTTCCCATGACTTAGAATAATGATTGATACACAACAGATAACTCATATCTTTTATATGTATATTAAATTACACTGGTAATGGAAACTATTTCATAACAAATGGAATCCTTCTTTTAAATTTTCGCAAACTATTCATTGTATGCATTTATGTACCAAAAGCTGTACTTATTGAATGAAAACATATAGTTATTAAGATACAAGTGAATAGAATTATAGCATCTAACATTACAAGGATAACCAAAATACTTGTCTGCATTATACAATGCAATTTCTGGACTTTCTCTAGATCAAACATTTTTTAGGAAATGTATAACTTTATGTCTCCAGCTGAAAATTCAGATATCAGAAATTGACAAATTTAGAAATAAAGTCATATAATTCAGAATTAAGTAATTGTTACATATAGAAAATAGAGATTAGCTAAAATTTTACCTCTGCATATAAAATGTTCCCTCTGTATATATATATTTTTAAACTGAAATATAAATTGTGAGCTGACACCTTTATGCCTAAATGGATAGGATGAATTGTACAAATAGACTACGATCATTTTAACTTTTTGTCAAATTTCTTTTTTTTTTAATTTTCAAAAGAAAAGGACCAAATGAGAAAAAAAAAACCCAAAAACAAAATGTGGTCATTCAAAACAAAAGATGGACATAGTACATGATTTAAAACCATAATACAAGGTGATCTACAATGGTTACCATGATGTCTCTTGTTATCTTTAGTAGAATTGCCCATATCATCAGGTAATAAAGTTGAACATAGCAGTATGGATCAAAATCAATAAAAACAAAACATTGGATACATTATAGGACTTCAAAAGAGGGTAATAGTCAACTCAGAATGGGTATTATAGTGAATCTTATTGTCTTTAGAGTAGTTGCCTATACCCTCAGACTTGGTACTATCAAACATAACAGATTCAAATAAAATCAGTCAAAACAAGGCAGTGAAAGCAATACAGAGTTTCAGATTAAGTTAATAGGAAATTAAAAATTTTAAATTAAAAATTAAAAATGGTTACCACAGTATCCTGCTATCCTTGGGATAGCTGTCTAATGCCCTCAAATCTAGTACAAGTAGCAAACTAAACAGAGCAATGAAAGCAATATGGGATTAACAATACCCTCTGCCTTCCCTATTTAGACAATTCCTCCCCTTTCACTTTCCCAGGGTACATTCTGCATTTTGTATCCCACTAACTCCTTCAGTTTTTAGATTAGGGAGGCAACCCGCTATTTACCTAAGTGGTTCTGAACGTTTTTACCCGTGAGCTTGGTCTCAGGTTGTATCCATTTACCTACAAGAGCCTCAAGGTTTTCTTTCCGTATAGCTGAGTATTTATTGCATAAAAGTGTTATGTCTTTCCAACCAATCTGTAGCTGATGGACATTCCCTGTCACATAGAACATTATTTTCTCATCTTTGAATTTTAGTCCATAAGCCTTCTTTCAGGTTAAATGAGCATCTTGATGGACTCTATCTTCTGATCCACTCTGCCTCTGTTTCTTTTTATTAATGTATCGAGGCCATCCATGTTAGCGGTTATGGCTAACCTTCTCAGCCTCATCTCTGCTATGCTATTTTTCTGTTAGTGGTTGTCTACTTTTCCCCTTCATTCCACTGTTAGCCCCGTTCAGTAAGCCCTCTCTGTCACTGTTCTTAAAACCATAACCTTTTTTTCTCTGTCTTTAGAATGTCCTTCATTATTTTTTGAAGGGTTGGTTTGGTGGTCATGAACTCCCCCAGTTCCTCTTTGTCATGGGAGTATCTTGTTTCTCTGTTAATTTTGAGAGGCAGTTTTTCAGGGTACATCAATCTTGGTTGGAGGTTATTTTCTTTCAGAGCTTGGAATACTTCACTCCAAGCTTGATTTGATGGTTTGTGTCAAGAAGTCTGTCATAATTCTGATGGGTTTTCCTTTATAGGTGATCTGTTTCTTTTCTTTGACCACTTTTAATATTCTGTTCTTGTGTTGAATTTCTGGGATCATGATTGTTATATGTCTGGATGTAGATCTATTTTGGTCATAGCTGGCTGGAGTTCTGTATTCCTCATATATCTGAATATCATTTCCTTTTTCTATGCTTGGGAAGTTTTCTTTAATTATTTCTGTAAATAGCCTTTGTATTTCATTTGTGTTTACCCTTGCTTATTCACTCAGATTTTTTATTCTTAAGTTTAGATCCTCTTGTCATCTTTTAACCTTTGTATTGTTACTTCCTGGTTCCTTGTTATTTTTAAGAGATATTTACTTTTGTGATCACAAGTTGCAAACCTGTCTTCAAGGTTTGATAGTCTATCTTTAGTTTCTTTCAAGCAGATTTGCTAGCTTTTAATGGATTTTTTTAATTTCCTGGTAATCTCTTTGAATCTGTTTCATGTATTCTAGGTTCATTTATAGTCTTCATCAAAGGTTTCTCTCCTTTTTCTATTCCTCCACTCTTCTATTGAGTGGTATTTAGCATTTATTATTTTTCTTATAGCTTCCTTTACATGTATTAGTTTTTCTGTTTTTAGTTCTTTTATAATGTCATGAAGATAATTCTTTATGTCAGATGCTGCTTTTTCTGAAACTGCAGGTGTGCAACCCCCGATCTCTTCTGTATTTACCTCTCCTGGACCAGTACTGTTTGGGTTGGAGGCTGAAGATTTCCTTTTGTTTCTTCCTCTTGTCATGTTTCTGGTTTCTTCCAGACAAGTGAATAGTATGGGTCCCTGGTACTTCTGTATTGGCTACAATTACTCTAAAGCATGCTAGCTAGGGATTGCTGCCCTCGCTGATCTGCTGATGGCCACTGAAGTACAAGCAGGGTGGGGCAGGTTGGCCCCTCCCTTCTGACCTGGTTCACCACGTTAGTGTGTGCCGCACAGACAGGATAGGTTGGGGATAGCTTCAGAGAGACTTCGTCCTTGTCTCTTGGGTCCCACACAGGGGCAGGAGTCAGTCCAAGCAATTCTCACCAATCTGCTCTACCCTAGGAGTGGCTGACTAAAGCCGCTGCAGTTCTGGTTCTGGGCATATGCTGCCCTACTCCAAAATGTCGCCCACCAATCGCCCATCCCACCGGAGGACTGAGTTCCCTGCACTCATGTGACCAGAGCCTGTGCAGATCTCTAGGCCGATGCTGTTCTCTGTTCCCCTCTGTGACTGCGTCCTCCTGCCGAGGACCTCAGGCTCGCCAACCCCCCCCCCCCCACTTCACCACACCTGCGCATCATTAGATTCCAGTGGCATTTCACACAGAGTGGGACCGGTTCAGGTGAGAACGTGTCTGGCTACAGCCTTCCATTCTTGTTTTTCTTTCCTTTCTTTTATTTTTTACCTTTAATTTCATCCTGAGTCGAGAGAATCTATCTCCTTCGGTCTGGTCTTCTGCAGGATGCTTTATTCTAGCTCTGGGCTGTTTCAGAGATGCCCTTTACTTTGGTGCTTATTGGTCTGCCATCTTCAGTAAGGTCTTGTCAAATTTCTTGATAAATAATGAGATAGTAAACTGCTTTTATTTAGGGCAGTTCATGCTATTGTTTCTAAGGCAATTGTACAACCAAATCTAAACAAGAAGCAGTC